TGCAATTGCTGCCAGTAAAAACTATAAAAGATAGTTTGAATTAAGCTTAAAAAGAACTGTAAAATTGCAAAATAAAAGATTTTGTTCAACACAGAAAATATTACAATTAGAAAAAAAGTTTATTAAGCATTTTTCAACAATGGAATGTGAAATAAAAATATTAAAAATTATAAACAAACAATACAAAAAGTAGCATAATAAATTTATTCTCGTCTTTTCATATGTATTAATGGTATAAAATTTACATTATGAATATTTCTAGATAGTTATAGATGAAACATTTAAGTTTTAATATACGCATGCTGGAAAGGTGATATTGAGTGCGTGGGCTCACTTTTCGGCTCCACGTGCCCATAAGAACAACATTGTTTCATTGGCACCAATTGGACGCGGCGAGGCCGCGAACAAGAGCCGCGAGACCGGCGTCTTGTTGCTTTTCGCCGAGCAGCTCGTCGTCGTCGTCGGCCGGCGTCGAGTTGCCGTCGCCGCTGCCGCACAGCCTAACACACGAGTTTCTGCTGCGAAACGATTTGAAGGAATAAAATAGGCTTCGTCTCTGTGTTGGGCGAAAAACGGAGCTCGTTATTTTGCGCGGCCGCCATTATTGTAATGGGCCGCCTTTTGTGCGGTTTTGTATCGCTCTGGTGTATCGCCATTTTGCGGCCGTATCAAGGGTAGAAGGGTTCAAAGGGCGGTTCGTTTTTGCTGACGCGGTCGTTATGGCAACCTGCCTGCCTGCCTCTCTTTTGGGGCTGCGCGCTACACCCCGGCAGCGCCAGTTTAATATATCAAAATGCGCCCGTCGAGCCCTTTTTGCTCCACGCCAAACAGAGCAGAGAGCTTTTGTTGGGGCTGCGGCGGTGCCTCGACCCGCAGCCAGGAGCTGCAAATCCTTCATCCCTTTCTTTCCAACCTCAAGTCCCCTTTCTATGAATAGGTACGATATTTTAACGATGAAATTTATGTATATAAAAAAAAACGAAAAATATTTAGCTTCGTTTTATTCTCTTTTCAAATAGTGATTTTATGAAATCTACTTTTTCCTGTGGTTCATTTGAAATCAAATTCTAGCCATTGCTTCTGTTGTATTTATCATTATTTATCTATTGGACTTTTCTGCAAAATAAACCTTTATAGGAAAATTATAGACCCAAAATATAATGCATCATTATTGGTTTATTGAGAGCTTTGGTTCAAAAGGCTGTTTTATGTAAATTTCAACAATTTATAGCAAAGTCCATTGTGATTTATTAATAATAAAACGCCAAAGTCATGCAAAGACCTTCCTCTTAATATAGCAAAATTATTTTGAAAATGCAATTTAGTTATTTATTGTTATGTACAAAGAGCAAATATATCATGAAAAACGCGTAAATAGCTCAAGCAACATTGTAGCTCCGTAATCTCAAAGTTTCATGATCTCTCTCTTAAGATGACCCTGGATCCATATAATTAATCAAGATGCCCATATACAAGGTCTTGAGAGCGGTTAGTTTTTGTGAAGACTTCTTGACCTGCACTCTTTAATGAGTGCATTGCCACGGTTTATGACCTGAGTGAGTCGTATGTACTCAACTGTCAGTTAAAGTACTTGATGTTTACAATTAATTAATTAATAAAACAATTATATTTAAAAAAATCAGAACCTGATGCTACATTAGCATTAATAGTAAAATTTAGATAAAATTAAATTGTAATATAAATTATTATAATATTTATTTGATATTAAATTTATTATTTAAAATTAGTTTTTTAAATAAAGCATGCATTACAGACATGCATAATACAAAAATTAATATTTTACAAATTAAAAATATAATATATATTTATAATAAATATATTTTTATATTTGATTAAAAAATTATTTATTTTTCAATAATATTTTTTTACATAAATTTTAATTTTAAAATAAAATAAAGTTGTATATACAAACTAAAATTTTTAATAAGTTAAACCTTAAATTATACCTTTATATAATGTTCAAAGAGTTCATTTTTTGGTATTCATCAAAGTGTTTTTACACGCGGTAAAAAAGGTAAAAAGTTATAAATAAAATATTCATTTAATTCATATGTTGTTTGTAATAATTTTGTTATTACTAATACTCCAAACTGTTCTCTAACTTGAATATACAATTTTTCTTAACGCAGTTCATTTATTAAATAAATCTGCATGTGTTTAAATTTCAGTTGGAAACGTGTACAATAATGGCTATTGAATTTAAGTGTGCATAATGGGTAAAGGTGTTGACACATACATAATCATCTCGCTTCTTTATATGCGTGCGCGTATTTATAAACGTATAAGTTAGACGAGTTAGACCTTTTTGTTTAATAAAATGTTTCCCATTGCAGAGCAGCAGAGGCCAAGGCTGACCCGAAATGCCCTGACCTGTCCTAACTTCACTCAATTCTTGATAAGCACATGCAAAAGAGACAAACGTGATAATTTAGCGTTTCAATGGGTGGACTTTGAGTGCCAATTAAATCACAAATGCAGAGAAGGGACTACCAAGCTATTGGTCATTGTCGACTGACAATCAAGATATTTTTAATTAAATTCGTCTGAAACTGATAAAAAAGTAATCATCGCAGGGTTGCGATGCTAATTCATTTCAACAAAGTCATCTGGTCCAAGCAATAATTTAACCATTAACTTTCATTTCATTTTATTACGTAAATCAGGTTCTTGGAGTAATTTTTAGTATTTTGACTTTGATTTTATAATTTTAAAACTAAATTATGTTTCATGTAACTCAATTGTGTAATTGAAAGAGGTAATGAGTAAAATATTAAATAAATTTTTATAATTTAACTGAAATAAATAATTTTTTAGAAGCTTGAACAATTATTGTAGTCTGACTTGTTTTACTATTATTGCAATTAAAGCCCTTAAAATGAATTATTTCTTTTCAAATCTATTCAGTTCATGATTTCAGTTTCATTAAATAATATCATAATCACACCTAATTTTTTGTTTTTAAATTTTACACAAGATGTTATTGGTTATATCATTTAAAGTATCAATAAATAAATATATAGCTCAAAAAAATTATCATTTCAATGATCTACACAATTCGTTCGGAAGTAAAATTGAAATACACAAGAGGACGTCAACTGGAGCAATACACAAGTGGATTATCCATCCATTTCCGTTATTCGGAGCGCGCCACTCAATTCGAGCCAATTTACGTCCATAAAATCGATTCGCTCGCAGCATCACAACAAGCAGCTCCTCTCTTACTCACTCTAGGGGTTCTGCGTTGGAGACGAAAATTGAAAACGAGCGCAAAAATAATAAACAAAGTCCGAGCAGGGATGTAACTGGATTTTTTATGGAGCGCGCAGGTAATTGGGCCGGACAAGGAGAAGAAGTGCTTATCGGCGCCCATCAGGATGCGGAGCACGCGTTGGCGATGATTGGCAGCCGGCGAGGGGTGGCCGAGGGGTGCGTGCCGAAGAGCAGCGACAAATTCTCTCGCACCCGTCCGCCGCCGCCGACTTGTCACACATAAAACGTTGCCGAGCAATTAGAGTTGTACATAGCAGTGCTGTAACGTGATACCAGAGACACGCTCTTAATTGCACTTCAGCACCCCCCGAAAATCACTCCACTTTGACAACTCGTTCGTTTGTATACGCGGTTATGATGAGATGAATTATAACAAAAAAAAATTGAAGGCTCATTTATTCGCATACTTTTTTTATATTAAACTTATTAAATTCAATTAAAAATAATTATACATGTAGGCATTATTAATAATTTTAAATTATCCTGAAAATTTTTTTAAACCATGATTTACTTTCACTTTTTGAAACTTGTTTGGAAGAATAAAAACAGAAGTAAATAAAAAGATATCATATTGTGTGTATATTTTTTAAGCATAAAGTTATATGTTAAATTTGAAGATAATTAATAATTAAACTAAAAAATGCAAATTTAAGAAATCTTATCAGTTGGTTTGAATAAATTCAAAACACTGCCTTCCTCTATCAAGATCAAGTTGGGGTAAAACCATTCATACACCATCATCTTAAATGTGTGATCCACTGAACTTTGTATCAACTCACTTGAATCGCTTATTATCGTAGGTTCGCGATTGAGTCAGTGACGAAAAAAAAAACACAGAGATCGTTTTGGTTAAAACTCTCAAGTTTGCTGATTTTTTAGTCTGAAAATAATACTATTCTGTAAGTGAGACTTTCGAAATTAAAAATCTAATGCAATATAAAGTTTCGTAGATTAATATGGATGAATAATTTCCAAAAAATTAAAGGGAATCGGAGAGGGTGTGCAGATTTGCAAGAAAGTCTCTTCGCACCTGAAGAATGCCTGACTTGAATGAATTTTCTGCTTATTCCGCCCGTCGGCCGCAGCACTTTTTCCTCCACGCCTGCACTTTTTGCGTCCGACCAGAGGCGGAAATGTGCTGAAAGAAAAAAATACCTATTATGTGGCTGGGTGTTTGGCCTCTCAGTCCGCCACCGCCGCTAAATGAAAGCGTGCGTAAAATGCGTGCACCGCCAGCACGCACTTTCCGGCGCTTCCAATAATTGATCGGTTTGATTTCATTGATAAAAAATTCACCTACTTCAAAAACTGCTCGTCCAGCACATACTTCCACGCTCGGCGGCCGAACTTGGGCAATCCGCAACTTCCTATTCAAATATGCCAGCAACCAAATTTAATTTGTCTCAAATAATTTTTTTTTATACTTGCTTATCTTTTATTGCTATGAAATCATAGCTCATTTTACTTTCAGTTCATATATTGATCTTTATATTTATTGTTCACTTTCATTTCAATTTATAAGGCTTCTATTCTCTTCGTGTTTTATTATATTGAGCAGTTTCATTTTCTTTTGAGTTGTTGCAACTCCCAGACAGAAATATCTCAAAGGGATATAAATTTATTTATTTAGAATTAATTTCATTTTTTTTAAACTCACTTTGAAAGATTTTTGAGTGGGAGTCGCATTGAAGGCATGGTAGGAAAAGCAGTTTTTATTTAATTTTAAAACAATGACATTTATTTCTTAATATTTCCTGACATAATAGTACTTGTAGTAAAATTACATACCCTTTTTCGTAAAACATTTTGTGTACATTCAGCATTCACTGACCGCAAACACGTAATATTTATCTAATGAAAAACACAAAAGAAACATCAAAGAAATTAATAAAAGTAGTTTTTCGTTGTCATTTTTTTTTAAATTCACTAGTAAGAAATGAAAATAATTCGCAAAGACAATTTTTAAACTCATCCGCACGACTTAAATTTACAATCACATTGTCTCTCCTCGATTAATCATACGCATCATTAAACGTTAATTATTATCTCCACTTTTGCATGAAAATTCAGAAAAATTAATCAGAGAGAGATTTTGAACCAATCAGTCTAAATACCACTTCCTGATTGCATAATGACCTTCCAATTAATTAAAAAAACACTTGCACCGAGTTTTGTCTTTTTGATTTGCCGCACATTCAGCACTCTCTCGCGAGTAGAATCACATGTACATCATTTTAATATTTTTCTTCTTCCAATTTCTCTTTAAATTTAACAACAGTAAGAAAAGTTAAGAGCAAGATGAGAATTATTAATTTTATATGGGGCGTTTTGTGCCTCTCATAAGTCGCGGGGATACAACCATCAACAATTAAACAATCATTAACAACACAGAGACCGGGGTATGTGTCGCTCGAATGTAATTTTTCAGGTACGATATACATACACTTCACCGAGTTTATATATTATTTCTATACATATTTATGGATATAGTGTGAGCAAATAAATGCAATGAAGTATGTGACTGTTACGAAACAAACTATTGCAAAAATGAATCGCGCACCGAAGAACCTTTTCAATTTACGCAGCGACTTTATAAATTTGTGCATTTCAATGAAAAATTATTTCAAAACATAACCGACCCAAAATGAACCAAAAAGCAATTAAATCGGATATGCATTTTGACACTCGTCGAAAGGTCCAAACGTCCTGTTGAATTTTTTTTTTTTTAAGAAAAAAACTATTTACACTTGCAAGGGCTGCGGCACCTGCGAGGGTGTCCGAGTAAAGAATTCACTCAACAGTGGCACTGGTGGGCCGGCGCCGTCAGCGTGTGCAGCGGCGCCAGGTGGATGCCGGAGGGCGGCTGGGGCCGGTGTGGAGGCGGCTTGCACCACTGGGGGTGGGCGGTGGGGGCGAGGGGCCCCGCGCCCCCGTGTCACTGGTAAGAAGCGGCCACGGCGTGCAGTTGCTGGAATTCGGGCGAGTTGGGGTTGCTCGGGTCCGAGGGCGAACTGCCGTTGGCGGCCGGAGGCGGCGGCTGCGGATTGTTGTTGTTGTTGTTGCTGATGGCCTCCAGGTCGTGTTGGTGCTGCTGCGAAATGTGGTGCTGCCTGCGTTCCAAGATCATGCACTTCTCCCTGTAGTGGTCGCGCTCCTGCCTCATCCGACCACAGTCGTGCCGCACCCGCTGCAGCTCCGACTGCAGACTTCGGATTTGCGTCTCCTGCTCGTGTCTCTGCTGCAGACGCTTGGAGCGGCAGTTCTGCGCGTACCCCCTGTTCTTCAGCGTCCGCCTCTTCTGCTTCAATCGGACGATCTCGCTCCTGGGGAAGCCGTGCAACCTTTTGTTCAGTTCGCGGACACTCAGGGACATGAGCAGCTCGTCGGTGAGGAAGGCGTCGGCCGGCCCCGTAGAGTGAATTATGCTGTTGCTGCAGGAGACTGACGTGCACCTACTGTCCGGCGATAAACTCATCGCACGGCCACCCATACCCATGCCCATACCCATGTGTCCCTGAAGGGCCATCGGCGAGTCAAGGTGGTCATCCAGGTAGCTGTGCTTCTGGTGGCCCAGGCGCTGGTGGTGCCCTGAGCCCAGGTTGGGCGGCCAGACCTCCATGACCAGGGGCTCGTTGCCGCCCCGCAGGTCGAGAGGACCTTCGGCCTCGCCATTGTAGCGCATTCCGGTCGCCACCCAGCAGTTGCCGTCCTCGGCCAGGTGCATCCCTGGCTGCAGGCCGTTGGACATGAAGGTCGGCGACGGCGGCAGCGAGCTGTTGTGGCACTCGTTCTGCGGCGTCGGCGGCGTGTCAGGCGGAGTCCCTGGCGTAGAAGGAGTCATGGTTGTGAACATGCCCTGCTGATTCTCACCTGGCTTGCCCTGCTGAAGGATGACGTGTTGCGGCTGCAGAGGCCCGGGCGGCTGACCCTGAGGGATCAGTTGGTGCAGCTGCGGGGTGGGCGACGCCAGGGGGTTGTTCATGCTGTGCAGCTGGCCGCCGTACAAGACGGCGGCGCCGCCCTCGATCAACACCTGCTGCGGTGGGGGCGGCGGCGCCGGCCCGCCCTGGTGAATCAGGCTGTTGGGGCTGGCCATGGGCGTTGGGTTGCTCGCGACCACGGGGCCGCGGCGGTCACCGAGGATTTCGCGTTTGACCTGCTGGCCAGGCTGGAGGTGGTCCAGGTTGAACTCCTCCACGTACTCGCCGTAGTCGTCGACCAGGTTGGGGTCCATGGCCTGCTGGCTTTTCGCAATTGTGGAAACTGTCTCTCGACACTGCGCACTTTGCTAAGGGTCCATTCACTGTGCTTGCACTCGGCTCAGAGGTCGGGGCGGTTTTGTCCTTTGCGAGCGGAGACGAGCAGCAGCAAGTGTCGAGCACCGTCGTCGGCAGTGCGGTTGCGCTCGCCCGGAGGCGGGCCCGGCGCCGCTCGCCGGGCAGGACGCGCCGCCCCCGCTGCCGCGGCATACCAATCGCGATACCAACTCGCGCAACAACAACCGCCGCCGTTTGTTATCAAAACTCCAAATTGGATTGACGTGCAGTGCCGCCGCCGTAATAAGGCAGGTGGAGGTGTGCGGCCCCGCTCGCTGCAATCCAATCCCGACAATGCCCTACCTGCTCCTTCGGCGCCCAATTGCACAATCGCGCGCCCTTTCGGCCCCTGAGAGCCGCTGCCAAATTGGCAATGTTCTCGGTGCTTAAATTTGGAGCTTTATGGGCCTTGTGTGCATGTGCTACACATTCTAAGCGATGCTGTGTGCAGCGAAAATTCCAATAAAGCTTTAAGAATATTTTAGAAAACAACTTGAACGAGTTAATTTAATTACAGCAATATTTAAGTCACATAGATTACTATTATTATTATTTATTCTTCTCGGTCTGTACAAAAATTCTTAAATTGGAGAAAAAAAAGAGAAGAAAGGGTTTAAAACTAGCAGATGTCTGCTAAAACGCCCGACATCAAAAGAGACACGGCCGCCGCGGTAAACCCACATTACTGCCAAGAAATTATTTCAATTTATTATTTTCTTTTTTCCTTGGTCAGTACCAAATTTTAAATTGGTTAAAAAGAGAAGAAACAAATTTTATTTCATTTTTGGCAGCGAATTGCAGAAAAAATAAGAATAATTGCTCAAATACGCTCATCTATAATCTTAAAGAATAAGCAATATAAATCAGAACTTTAAATTTTTTGTTGGAGAAATTAAGTAGTAATAAAGTATTTTAACTCCTTTTGTTGAGAGTAGGATTTGATTATTAGAAATCAATATTATGATTTATATCAGCTAGAATCAGGAGTGGGGCAAATTTTAAAGCGTTTTATTTCAAAGTATAAAGAAAACTCAAGATATCCATGTCCATATTGTATATTTATCAACAAATTTGACAATTTCTTGATAGAAAAACGAGTTTTTATTTGAAAGTTATAAGTATGCAGATAAAATATCAAGATCTATTATTTTCTCTTAACATTTTTATAACATTCAAATCGTCTTTTTCGTCTCTAGTGAATCAATTTTTTATTAGAGAATTAAGAAATTTTTCTATTCTATTTTATAAATGTTTTCTTCAAAATTAAGGAAAAAAATTAGAATGCATCAAAGAATATTTATAGCTATCCGAAGAATTGAACATTTCCAATGAATTGCATATCATCTCTTAAGCTCTATCATTGCACGGAGCTATTTATGATGGAATTGCTTGCATATGTTCGAGAATAAATGCTCTTGACTGTGAGCTCCGTTTCTGCGATGCGCCGCAGTAAAAGGTAATGAGATTTGGCTAAAACCTCCTGTTGAGGAGGTCTGGCCTGGTCGTGCTCTTTTGCTCATAAAATATAATACGGAATGTAGCGCGCGCGGCGAGCAAGTGCATCCATCGGCATTGATATCTATTGGAAATCAATACTCAATATGACGTCGCTGCTCTCGGCCGCTGCTTTTTCATATCTCTCTCCATATCTCGGGTGCATTGAATTTGTGTACCTAAGAGATGCTGCGCTTGTTATTTGCGTCTCGCCCGGAAAAGAATATAATCTAATTAATGGAGAAAAAATCCGGCGTGTCCATTTTGGTTGTCCGGGCCGTCAAAAGTTGGACGGAGATTTATGCCCTCTGCGTAAGGAAACTTTTCCACTGGGCCACATCCGCTCCAGCTCTGGCTGTTGCAAATAAATCGTGCAGTTGCGCGCGCCCATAAATTGCAAACGGTCTGCCGGTTAATTTATGGCTTTGCCGGGAGTTGAGATTCGCCAGGGTCTGCGAGTGTAAAGGTTACACACATATTTGCAAGAGATGAAATTTATTACGAAAGTGAAGTAATTATCTTGGTAACTCTTGTATTCAATTTTACATTTCATGCTATGTAATTTAAAGGGTGAAATAATATAATTAATAATTTAAAAGTTATTTGTACAACACAATAAGATATTATAGTTTATAATTTATTTTTATTTTAATATTATAATTAAAAGCTAACAAAAACTTTTTATTTCAATTTTTATTTAAAACATAAACATTTTAATGTTTTATCTGTATTAATTAAGTGTTTTTTTTTGCAATGTTCACATGCCTAAGGCCTTGTATTAAAACAAAATAATATGTGTGTCTTACTAAAACATTTATATAAAAATTCTTTCCAGCAATTTATGATAAATCAAATATATAATATTAATTATTAATTACAATTATCTTTTTTCTGCCTTAGCCAATGCTAAAATATGAAAAAAATGGAACAATTAAAAAAGATCATTATTTTATCTTGTCTCCATTACATTTAAAAGTATAAAAATTAGCTCTATGTCACAAATAAAGCACACTAAAAACTGAGATCCTTTGTTGCAAATCATTAGTTCGCCAATTGTAGGAACAAACCGCACACACTCGCGGCGTCACTCACTCTCCACAGCACCCATTATTTGGCAATAAAATGCCTTGTTGACTGCTGCAGAGAGATGTAATATTGCGAGCAGCGAAACGGTGCTTGAAATTTTGATGACTTGGCTGAGAATTGTCATTTCAGCTCATGAATATCAGGAGACAATGGATTAGACTTGGAGGACCTCCCCTGCGCTCTGCAATATCTACAGCTGTATACTGTTGACAGAGAAAAGCTTTTCCCACACAGCCGCGTGCTCTGATATTAATTTTGCTCTCTTCGCTTCTCCATCCGTCTGTCTCCGCGCACACAAACTACTATTTGCTCAGCAATATAAAGATGCGTCGCTCTTTGCAAAATATTGCACCACAAAACCAGCGGAAATTTTTCATATCCCCCAAAAAAACTAAAAATTAATACATCAGAAATCTGGAGAATTTCTCTCTCAATCTTTGATTTTATTATTTTGAAAAATCATGTGCACTCAATTTTTTACCATTATCTGACTGAGCGTGACTGTGCAGAAAAGAGGGCAGATTAAAGTGGTGAGAGGCGATTTTCAATCGATTACGCGGCGTTTCCTGCGCTCGACCCCGCCGATGACAAATGGCCACTTGTTTCCGCGGTTCTCGCGACGGAAATGGCCAAATGGATTGCGACAAGTTAGTTTTCTTGACGCTGCCTCGTTTGTTTTGCACTCACTCACGGTCTTGAAAGCCGCAGGAGAGAGAATAAAACGAAGAGCGCCTGCAAAAAGCGGACGCCTGCAGCCTTTTCGACGGCAGTGTTCGGCGGAACAGCATAACCAGAACTATTCAGGTAATAAATTTAATAACTATTGATAAAAAGTTCAATAAACGAGATAAGTGAAATACAGTAATTTGATTTCAGTAATTAAATTCAGTTTTTTGTTTAAATTGGAAGCACTGAACAATATTAAATCCTTGTACGAGTTTTAAATTATTTTTTCAAATATTTATTTTAATTTTAAAGCATTTTTCTTCTATGTTGTTTGATCATTTAAAAATATAATACAATTCAAATTTGAAATTCAACTTCTAGTCCTTTGAATTGAATTTTATTTTATTAAATTTTCCATTTTTCCGTCCCTGTTCTTTCTGTGCGGAAATAGATTCAGGAAATGATTTTCAAAATAACTGTATTGCCAACAGACATTTCGGGTAGCTTGAAAGGAATGAGATTTGCCCAGCAATAGAAGGGGCCAGAGAGATTCCGATACGGCTGAGCTACCCCAAATCGTTTTACTTCGCCAATACGCTGCTCCGTCTTGTACTACTTATGTCTGAGCAAGTCGGAGGAAAAAGAGTTGTTGTCCCCCATGCACGTCTGTTGAAATTATAAATAAATCGTTGAATCGCTCGCTCTCCACCCGCATAAACTTCTATCTTTCAAAGTCAATAAAATCTATCGCGAGCAGATAAGCCGGAGAAAGTGAGCAAGTCGTGCCGATCGCCGCTTTTTATAGCTCGAAAAATGCGCGAGGGGGAGACGGACCGGTTGAAAAGTAAATTGTTACACACGCACGCACGCCGGAGAGCGATATGAATGAAAAGCGGCATGCAGAGTCATATCCATCCCCTTCGCCTTATTTCATACTACATAAGCGCTCGCTTGTCAATCTCTCGCCGGCCTTCTTTCAATCTCCCCGCGCTCAAATCTGCCAGCAAATCATCATCCCCTTGTCCTTGCTGCACTGCACAAATTCGATATCTAAACTTTATCTGGTCATTTATTTGAAAACATAAATAGGGACAACCTCTGTTTTTATACAGCAGGGAGCTGCAAAATGTTTAGGAAAACTAAGTAATAAAGAAAGTTTCCTATATGAAAAAAAGATTGTTTAAAATTCGCGCATCAGTCATATCGTCTTAGAAAATTGAAAAACTATAAAAAATTAATCGACAAAAACTTTTATTGAGTTATTTGCCCTTATTAGGTTGAAAAATTTTGTAGGAATAATGGTTTACAAATCATTTTTCAAAAACCTTAGCACTAAATAGCTTATTTTTAATAATATTTAATATTTACTAATATTTTAATTTCTATATTTATACCTTTTAAATTAAAATAATTTACTTGCTATAAAACGTTTGGTTTTGTTTTGCAATTAATTATAAGTTAAAAAATAAACGTTTCCTCTTAGTGAATTGGAATGTTATAAAATTTAGTATTAAACAGTATATTTTTTACTAGATCCTCACTGTTCAATGGAGATTATTCTGCAGTTAATTAAAATTAATTAGAATATTCGAAAGGGTCTTGATATAACATCGTTTCTTTATAAACGTTGTGCATGGAATTTCGTGAACCATGTAAATTAATTAAAATTGAAATATTATATGCCTGAATTATTTCATCATGTTCTTTTCCACGGACCATAATTTTGTATTTCCAGGAATAATGAAGTAAATGTCATTTATAATCCCACCCTAAAATCCGATTTGCAATTTGCTCGGGCTGAGAAATTATTCATCGAAAGGCAGCGAGTGTGACTATTTTGCGAGGTGCATCGCCAGACAGAGCGTTTCCACTCTCGGCAGTGGGTTATCTCTCTTTTTGTTCCACACGGCGTAATAACGGCCGTTAATTACATTCAGATTTAGTGCAGCGCGCGGTTTTAATAGACTAGCGGCGCGGTGGCGTCGCAGCATGATTTAGGAGAGGCCTTCGGTGTAATGAATTCATTCATCCCCACAGCGCCGCTCGGCGTGACATCTCCCCCCAGAGGCCACAAATCATACACGCAAAAGCAGAGCCACCCTCTCTCGCTGGCTCCACTGCCAAGCTGCAATAATATAAAATAGCTGAGCTGCCAGCTGGGGTGACATTTAAACGCTTCCTTCCGCTCTTCGAGCTAAACAATTATTTCATTACCGCCACGGCACTTTAATTGCACTTTGATCGTCCATTCATAGTGGTGCATTAACAAATTTAATGCACAATTGCTGCATGAAGGTTTAAAATCATGAATTTACTTATATATAAGTCAATATATTTTTGTGAAGAAAAATAGAAATATATCAATATATCAATTGATTTGTAAACATTTTATCATTTCCCAGAACGTGAACAAATTAAATATATTTTTAAAATAGAAGTGAGGAGATCGGGCTTTTTCTCATTGTAAAAATTAAAAATTGTTTTTAATAAAATTTCACTTCCATGATCATCTCTTTTAGTGTAAATTTCTGCAAAACCATTTTTGACATATTCTAATTACACTGTGACATTGTTCTTGATTTCAAAACCCATTTAATTATCATTTAAAAATACAATGCTGGTAAAAAAATAACAAAACAATAAAAAATTTTAAAATGTACTGTCTCTACGTAAAATAAAATAATTCAAAATATTAGTTTAAAATAAAATTAATTAAACTCTTCAAGCGTTACAAAAAATACATTATTAAAAAATTTATTGTGACACTTGTTACTTACAGGCCGTTGCAAATATCTACTTTTTCTTGCTGCTAACCCCATTTAACGATCCTTTTTGAGATATAGTCAGATCAAGTTTTTACAACAATGGGACTAATATTAATATTTCAAATTGTTGTAAAGACTTGTTTTGACTCAGTTTTGACTTATGAAGTCCCTAAAACTAGGATATCGCCATCTGCATTTATGCAACAATGGAAAAATCAGCTAATGGTCTAAACAATCTTCATTTGATTTTGAATATCGCAACAATTGAAACTTAACGTCACATTTTTGCGCGAATTCAAACTAATCACTCTTCAAAGCGAATTTTCAAAATCATCATGCTGTCGTTTTTCAACTCCTTGAGGATTTTTAAGGCATTTTCGCGCTGTCTGCTCTTCCTTGTGAGCTACAGCATGGGCGCCGAGACTCGAGTCCAGTGGCAAAAGTCTGGTAAGCATAATTTTTGAAAAAATCTTGCTTGGAAGAAATTCTTGTAACGTTCTTGCCGCAGGCGTGATGGAGACGGTGCGGTCTTCGGTGCTGCTAAGCGCGCTGGCCTTTGTCCAGTTGAGCTTCAGCTGCGCCTACGTGGCTGAAACGATGGTCTGGCTGACGGCCAGGATGTTCGGACAGCACTGCATGTTCCTCTAAGACGACGCCAGGTTCACCCTCCAGGGCACCGATTTCGTCGAAAGCATGACGGTGATTGCGATTTGCGGCTGGTAAATTTTAATCATTGGATAAAACTATTCCGGGATACTCTTAAGTGATTTTTTTGTTTTCAGGGCAGTTGCGATGCTCACTCCTGAGTCCATTTTCCAGAAGATTGGCAACCATTCCATCTTGGGCCCTATGATCCACGTTTTGAACAAAATCTTTTGGTATATTGATCATTTTTATTTCATTCGTCCTAAAAATCTAAATAAATAAAGCTGCAATGTAGATATTTTAATACAAAATTCAATTTTTATGCTATTATTGTGTAAATTATTTTTATAAGAATTTTTGCAATTATTTTCCTACTTTCCGCAGACTTAATGTAGCTTAATTCTTCAAAATTTAATTAAATTGTTTAAATATTTTTGCTTTTTCCATAACTTTAAGAAAATCAAACCTTTAAATTTTCAATAACACTTTCTTTTAGGGTTCTGAACTGCGCCATCGGTCTGCAGATCGCTCTGACTTCTCGCAGCCTGTTCGCTCTCCTGGCCTTTTGCACTCAGAGGGCAATCGCCTTCTCGTCGCTGCACCTGGATAGCCCCATTCTGCACCTGTTTGCCTTCTACGTGGCCATCTTTCTGGGCAACCCCTTGCGACCCCTGGCTGTTTCCTCCCTGGTCATGGATATAAACAACTTCCTTGGCAAAACCCACTAAAATTTGACAAAATTTCAACCATGAACAGAATTTTTGATTTCATATTTGCATTCCCCTTTTTATCTGTAATGCTCTATTTTTTATGGTTTAATTTTATAATTTCTAGACTGTTGAAGTGAAGTCTATGCAATTTTTTTATCATTTCACTTCCAAGTTCATTCTTGTAATTAAACTATGAAAATTGCTTTATTTTACAAGACGTGAAATTAAAATAAATTTGGCTCATTCAGAAATGTTAAAAAATGCTTATTTATAAGGACTAGTCAAATCTAGTCTTTACAACTATAGGAGTCAAGTTTTGCGATTATTATAAATTTTAACCTTCATTGTTGCAGCAACTTGATTTGACTATTCCAATAAGGAGTTCTTAAGACAAGCTAATTAGCATAATTAAATATTAAATTAAATAAATGGTTTTTTGTATATCTGGTTTTAAATTATCTTTTATTTACTTTCTTGATTTTTATCTATATTTTACTTTTATATTTATAATAATATTTTCATTAAATATTAATTTTAAATTAAAAACATAACTAAATACCATCAGATAAATTTTTTGACTAAATTACATAGACAATTTCCTCTCTTTTATAAATTACAAAAACGTGCTATAACTTAGTAGAGATTGTAAACATAAATAATGTCGAGGACTGCCTTTGCGCAATGGAAAGAAATGATTTTTTATATCTTTTAATAGGACTTAAAATGTCCGAAATAATATCAATAATTTTCTAACGCATAAATTTTACCAATTTAAATTTTTTCCTTTCTTGCTGTGTGTTGTGTGTTAGGAGGATTTTATTGCAATTATCAATTAATAACTAAATGTGAATCTCAATTTGTCTTCTTTTGTTCGTTTTTGCCTTTGTGTCCAGTTCGTTTGCGAGACAATGAGAGCCTGATTTGCACAAATAGAAAGCGTGTTGCTAATCGTTGTGCACTTAATTGTTGTTTCTGGCCGCGTCAGCCGTGTGCTGTTTGCGCAAACACGTACGTACGCATCACCTGCGGGAGGGCATCAAGGGAGAACACGTGTCGTCGATGACACTTGCTCTTTTTCCCCAAAGAGATCTTTTATTTTTCAGAGGCTTTGGCGACGACACGGAGCGAAGAACAAAAAGCGGCGTAGATTCGATTAGAGCTCGGCCGAGTGGAACTGCGCGGCGGCGGAAAAAGCAAGAACAAAAGGGGTGAGAGCGAGGGGCGAAAAAGCCAGAGCTGTTTTGCATGCCTTAATGAATTCAAATCGAGTGGGATGATGCTTAGTTAAACATCTCGTTAACCAGCCAGCAGCTCTCGCTCTCTCTCGGCAGGCAGAGCGCAATATTAATTAGCTCCGCATGGCCACACACTTGAAACCAGCGCGCGTTTGCAGCGCAGAGAAAACTCTTGCTGGGCACCAAGTGCGAGAGCGACGCGGCCAGCGGGATTCCGCTTTTCTCGCCAAAGATCAACACACATGTGAGAGCGTGTCTAATCAACACTTTATGCCTCCATATTCATCTAAATTAAATGAAAAAAAAGTCGGTCATCGCATTTTCCATAAACAGAAAAATGATTTTTATTAGTCCCATTGAAAGTTCCTCATCAATTTAGGTTTCCAACAAATAAATTGGGAAAAATGAGTGTTTTTTTTTTGTGGGCGAAATACGAGCCAATTTAGGTGATATTTTTGGCTGCGGAATGGGTGATTTGTTTTATATTAAAACAAGAAAAAAGTAGGTAAGATTTTTTTCAGTCGAAATATTGTTTTTATGTGCTAAACATTTCTAAAAATTGTTGATTGCAGATTTCTCTGGAAATAGATGAGATAGATAAAAAGTGACAATCTTTTCAAATCTTTTTACTTGAATGGGTGAATAATAGTTAAATTAACTAATTATTTTTTATCAAATTAATATGATATATACATGATTTAAAAACCTGTGACATACTCAGCTAAAAAATGACCATTTTTGTTAATTTCATTACCTTTATTAAAACGTTATAAGAAAGTTTTGATTACCAATAATTCCCATCTCTAATTCGAACCACAACTGGGTTTACCGTTTACTGCGGCGGCAGAGTCTTTTGATATGGGCGTATTAGCAATAGCAGACATCTGCGAGTTTTAAACCCTTCCTTTCTTTTATTTTTTCTATTTTTATTTATTTTTGTATTGACCAAAATAAATAATCATAAAAAACACCTATCATACCAAAACATAACAGATTTCATATTTCAATCTGTACATCATAATATAATTTAAGTAAATTTCTAAATATTTATTTAATAAGATTAAATGTTTGTCATAAAATTATCACGAAAATCAATCAATATATTTTATATTTAATTGCCATCTTATATTAAAATATATTTTTATTTTAAAAATAATTAAAGTGTTTTTAATTTAAAAAAAAAAAAAAATTTAAAATTTCATTTGAAATTCTTAAAATATAAAATATAACAGAAAAATTATTTTATTTTATACAGTAATTATATATTATTAATTGTACGTTACATGATTTAATTACGCTCTGCATTTTGAATAGACTTCCTTTGCGATTTTGTTGCTTCTAACAATAATAAATCAATCAAAATATTTTGGAAATAAATTGCAACATTGAAATAGCTTTAAATTCTTTAAAACATTGATTTATATTTGAATTAATTCTTACTGAGATTTACTCGACATTAATTTTTTTTATGGATTGTGAAATAAATTTTTCACCCCTACACATTTTACTTATTTTTCCGTCAGATCTGATTGCGAGTTCATATAAAAGAGAGCTGATGCAAATTTGGAGAAACTTTTATCGGCTCAATCGTCATCTCATCATTTCCCTCTTGGCTGGTTCCTTTTTCTTAATACTATTTAGCTGCCTGGGGGGAGCAGCGAGATCGGGAAACGGAACGGAGCAGAGAGAGAATTATAAACCGGGTGTATGGTATAATGATAATTTGAGACCTCGCGCGCCTGCCTGCCCTCGTCGCCACAAGAAAGTGGAGACTCTTATCTCTATTACACCGTGAAATGTCTCAAGATTTTATACTTTCCCACAGCAGTGTTGAATAATTTTCTACTGAAATGACTCGGGTGTAATTCAGCAGCTCGCAAATAAGCAAAGGATACGCAAGGGGCAGGGAATTATGGGAATTTAATTAAAGGCCAGCAATAATTCAAGTCATTTGCCAAAGCGAGCCAGAGAGGGCTTAATCGGACTGTAAATTTAATTCTGCCGTCAGCCGGGAAGTAAATCAAAGCGCACCTACTGGCTCGAATATAGAGAATTTAATTTGTATTTTAATTTGTATGCCAAAAATGAAATTTGCGGAAATTTGAAATAAATTTTGTACATAAAAAGTTAAAATTAATTTTGATTTCATAGTGATTGAAAATAAAGTCAGCCCTACTTTGGAGAGCTTTTTTGAGCCATTCGTTTATTGCAAAAAAAAAAAAAATAATAATAATATCCTATGAGGCTGCTAGCCAAAATGTGTAGATCAGGATATTTTTTTTGGCAAAAGAAGCGCGACTCTTAACACCATCAAAGAAAGGCAGAGTTTATTGTAAAATCCTATTAATTACAAAATAACTTTTAAATTTTCATTATATTTATTTACTTTAATTATTTTTTTTTAAATATTTACATTCAAAGAGCTGATCATGGATGTGAAGAACTCGGGCTTTTTGCAACGACAAAAAAATCTGAGCTTTCACTTCCATTTTTATTAATATTTATTATTGTAAATATAATCAATTATTCTCTTTAACAACTTAAAATAGAATAATATTAGTAAAAAAATTACACTTTCTGACCTTAGACAAATATAACTTAATTAATTTTTTAATAATTTTTACTTCTTACGGAATCTTACATATTCAAAATTTAACTTTTTCCGTGCTTTGCTTGGATTCAGTCTGCAATCTTGTTACTCTTTTGTTAGTCTCAAAACAAAGGTGATAGCACAACGAAATCGAAATAATAATGTTTTCAAAATACACGCGGTTCTGACCTTTGCTACAACCACAGCAAAGAGCCGCGTGTTTTACAAACTCGTCTTGCATTCCCTTGCCCTCAGTGACGGTTTTCTGTCAAAAGGCCAATGGCAGCTTAAAGCTCCGTTAAAATAAACACTCTGCTGCTGTGGAAAACATTTTGTACATTATAAAACAGGGCCGTAGCGAAAGAGGAGCAGAGGCGAATTTGCTGGCTGTGCACATTGTGATTGGAGCAGAATAAATAATTATTATCAAATTAATTATGAGAGCACAAGAGTGTGTGTTGCTCCACGGCATATAATTAATTGACTCTGGAAGATAATTTTCCGCGGGGCTAATTAACTGCTAATTAATTATAATATGGTCGTCGATGCTGCAGAAATTTTACGAGCAGCAACGTACGGATGACTTTGCAAAAAGGCACGATTGGCGAAAATAAACAGGCGTCGCCGCCCCTTGCATAAAGAGCGCGCGGCTCTCCAAGGTTTCCAACGTTTCCAACTGCAGCGGCTCTTAATAGCCCCTCATCTCGGCTATCAGGGCCCAGAGATAACCCCGTCACCTTCTTTGCATACTTTGTACTGCTTTGTATGATGCCAATAAAATATAAATGCACTTGGTACTTGGTGCAATTATAAATAATTTTTTTCTTCCATGTGTTTGCCACTTTGATAAGGAAGAGGGACGTGAAGTGTCTTTCGATAACCCTCGTAACCTCAACAGATGGATTTAGATACAAATTAATGAAGTTTAAAATTCCGGATTCGGTATTCGTCAAATTAATATGTGATTAAAATTCAGCCAGGATTTACAAGAAATTTTGTTAGAAAAAATAAATTATTAAATCGCTATTCTGCGAACTGAAATGACTGGCCGAGATGCGTGACATAAATGCAGTGTTCAGAGCGTGGGAGCAGAAAAAGTCGAGCTGCACTTTCTCGATCGTCATCAAAATTCAGTTTGCAGTTTGCACGCTGGAAATTACGAACTACACTCAAGTGTCGAGTGTCAAGAGCACAGGAAGGGCACTTTGCCTTGAAATTCACAGACTAGCTCTCGCTCTGGAGTACAATCAATTAGGTGAATTTTTTCATTTATCGTACATATCCATGTATTAAAGGATCAAGAATAAATCTGTTTTAAAGAATGTAGATTCATTAATAACTTGACAAATTGTAATTAACTTCTTTTTATATGTTTTATAAATTTTAAAAATAAAGGTAAAATTTTTGGTACTAAAAATAAAAGAAAGTAATAATCTGAAGAAAAAGCAACATAATATTAATATTAAAACAAACAACAAAATTTATAATTACACATATTTATTTTAACTAATTCTTGTTATGATTTTAAAGGTAAATATTAAACTATCCACTATAAGGAATAAAATATTATTAAAAAAAATTAAAGTAATTTCTTCTAGTAAAGCATTTTATTAAGTAACGGAGGCGTTCTGATTTAGCCAAAACAAGCCTTTCTTTGATTTATTATTAATTTGTGGTCCTTCATCTTCTGCGGGCATTTTTTTTAATCAGGTGGTTCTGAATATAAAATGATTTGCGAGATTGGTCAGGCCATTGTTTAGAGAAGTAGATCCTTCTGAAATTTAATTATACTTCTTTCCCTTCCTTTTTCCTTTCATGTTGCCAATTGCCACAAATAAAACATAATCATTTCCAAGAATTTCTTTATTTATTTCATCTACTTTATGTAAATTCATATTAAAAGGGAATTTAACACTTGCATTGATAAATAAAAACAAAATCTTGTGCCTTTGATTTGTATGGTTACAAAAACTTTTTTCAGCTCTATAATTAATAATTGTAAACGGGCTTGGGGGAGTTTGGCCATTCATGGTTAATAATCCTCTCTGAATTGGCGGCCAAACGCAAACACAAAGTCAGAGCAAATAATAGCAGATGATAATATACATAGCGAGTTATGAATCCAGCAATGCGCGAATTTGCACTAATGAGACGCGCTGCAAGCAAGCAGACCTGAAGGGCGGTAATTAGTGGTAAAACCCTTTGTTTACAAAATGTAGCGAAGATTTTCATTTTATATAAAATTCATAAAAGCGCAGCAGTCCTTTTTCGATTCTGATGGGAATAGCCGGCGGCCCGCGAATTATTGGATTATGAAACTTGAAACAAGCCGAGTGGAATTTATGATTGAGAAGACGTTGGTCGGCGCGGCACGGAATTGCATTTGGGTGAATGGTCAAAGCGGACTTTGTAATCCGGTTAAAGCAATCTGCCGCTGCGCTCTCTGTTGCTCTCTCCTGCAAGAGATCTTGTCGTTGCTCGTTGTGCTGAGAGTTGAGCAGAACGACGAATTTAAGTCGCGAGAGCTCATCTTCAATGACGAAAGAGAACTGCCATAACTCTAATGCATAATCCAAAACATCAGAAAGTACAAGAATGTTCAAAATCTTTGTATGTAATAAAAATTTTGAATAATGTACGTTATTAATTTTTTTTTAAATAAATGTTTTAATATTTTTGATGAGTTTAACTTGCATGCCAAGAAAAGCCAGCAAAATTCCGTTTACCAAATAATTTGAAAGTAATTACTAACATTTTTTTTTTATTAATTATCCTAAATCATAATTTCTCACAAGAAAATTTTTCCCATTTTATACAAATATGCGCTACATATTTTTCAAATTTGATCATTTGAATAAATTATCTAAATTATTTTTAATTAAAATAAAAACATTAATTCAGTGAAGACATAAAATGTTACCTAAACTATAAATAAAAATTAACTGTTTATAATTTTATACTTTCTTGCCTATTGCAATAAATTATTCTAGGAAAAATCCAATTATAAAACAATAAATTAGATTCAGCTACTAATTAAAAAAAATACTTTACTAGAGTATTTTTGATAATATCTTTATTGAAGATCTCACTTTCAATTTGCTCACATTTATAACATTATAAAAAATCAGAGCTTTCCAACGATGCAATTTGTAAATTTATACTTGTAGTGAATAGAAAGCTAGTTGTCATCTACCGGGGCCACTCACAACTGCTAAGAGAAAGTTGGCTGCCGCTGCTGCACTCTCCCGAGTCAGACTTGCACCAACGCTTGCCGTCTACCGGCATGTAGACTTCATTACGCAACTTAATTAATTTTAGGTCAATGCTTTGAATTTGTCACGTGATATGCCCGAGTCAGCACAACTCCTGTTGAATTATCTACCGGCTAGATATTGGGACACCTATTGACCTAGTATAATTGCATCCCTACCGATTAGCTAATAGGCAACGCGTTTCGCACACGTGAAAGACCGGTTGCATATGTAGTTTTGCTATTTCGCAAGGTGATTTGGAATTGATTGATTTTTACATGGAATATTTTTCAATAAATAATGGCATTTTATGCTTTATTCTTGGTACATGATAATTCATTTTCAATAAATTAATATAATAAGTTACTACGATCCTAGGTTAGTAATCTTGAGCTGGGTTTTTTTAGTACTTGTTCCCAGCGCCGTTTGCTTTAAAATTGCAAAAAATATCAGTTGGTTCAAAACCAGTGTTTGATTATATCAATCTCGTTGGTACGACGCACGAGAGAATTAAAATGCAGTTTCGTGACTAATATATTTTCCAGCACAGAACTCCGTGTGCAATAAATTAAAATGTGATTCAAATATGATCAATTGAAAAGCCCTGAAATCGGCTCGTCCCTTTGTTATTACTGGCCGACCCACCCAAACCCCCTTTGAAAAAGTCACATTTCAACCCTGTCGTTTCCGGATTTCGGTGAAACGGCGTCTGATTTCGTTGAACTTTTCCTCGATGGCGGATGGCACGGGGATGGTGCTGGACTCTGGGGCAGCGGTGGTCGTCTCGACCGCCGACTCCTCCTCAATCTCCTCCTTGCGCATCTGCTCGTACAGGAAGTGGTCCCTGTAAGCCAACTGCAGTGGCTTTTCGCAAATGAAGCGACTCATCTGCTCGCACGGAGCGCCGATCCACGCCGTCTCGTTCTTCACCGTGGCCATTCCGACGCAGCTCGAGTCCACCTGTCGGCCGCGGGTGTGCATGCGGGGCGGCGCCAAATTGATGTAGCCGAAATCGCGACCGGTCGCCAGCCACTTGTACTTGCCATTCTTGTACGAGCCAGATGTCCAGAACGGCTCGATTTCGCCACCGTCATCAGCTGACATGGAAACATAATAGAATTATTAGATTTTTACATAAAATTTTGAATTTATATTGTAAATACACTAAATAATTTTTTAAGTTATTACTGATTATGAGCAGAAACCATGAAAAAATATAAAAAATTCCTTTATTTCAATATTTTCATTTAACAATTTCCCTAAAAAACCCATCAGATCTACAACGATTTTGATGATTGAGACAATGAAAAAAAAATTGGAAAGCGGCGCAGTTTTAAAAATAAACAAGCTAAGCGCTACGTGTTTCATGGTTTTAATTTTCTTTTATTATAAAATAGGGCCCTCATTGCTAAGCTTTAGTAAAATGTTTACGTAAATTATGTGGGAAAATGCAGGCAGTATGATAAAAACTACTATTTTCTTTTTTATAAAAGCCTTGCGTTTTCCTTATTAAATAAAAAATGTAATAATTATTTTATGGCAAACGGAGGCAATTTGTTAGTTTTAAAATTATAATTTTTTTAAAGTAGTTTTTTAATTGCTGATTTTGTATCTTTGTATCAGTTTTGTAAGCAAACTGGTAAAATGGTCTTGTTTTTGAATTAAAACAATTATTTTACAATGGGGGAGAGCCCGAGTTCTTCACTTTCATGAAAATTTCCTTGATTGTCAGCAATTTCTTCAAACAAAATTAAATTTTAAAATATTAATATAAAACTACAATTAAATACAAAATCAAGTTTGAAATAAATTTATCAACTTAAGAATGGTCAATGGCATTAAATATTTTTATTTAAATTAAAAAAATTAATTTCTCATTTTTACTTAATTTTCACTATCATAGAATCTTGCCTTGAGAAATCAACAGTCTGACCGTGAATTTGTCCTGGCTGCAACGATTTAGTTGCGAAAATTTTATTGACTAATAAATTTTTATGCGTTTGTTTGCGTAATAAATTTCGCGAGATTTGATGGCTCGCTCACTTTTGTGTGGTCCAGCGACCGCGCTTTCTCTTTTCGCGTTGGCCTGGACCAGCGCAAGATGAAAGCAACAGTTGCGTGCCGTGAGCCGTCGAGGAGAGAGTGAATCCGCGACCCAGACACTACCAAACAGTGACGTGAAATTTTATATTTTAATTGTCAGTGCTCTGCAGCTTGCATTTGTTCGCCCGCAAACTGTTTGGATCATAAATTTGCGTAGCCTCGGCTCCTTTCCAGTAATTATCTATTTTATTATGCACACGCACGTGCGTTGGCTGGATTAATTTTTTTGTAAAATTGAGAAATGCTGCAGATCGTTACGATGTGCTAAAAGTGTGTTTGGATTTCCTAGAGCAGTGCGTATATAATTTACTCATAACTCATAACATAATGCAGATTTAAAAAGCAAGTCTCAAAAAATGCTGATCAATTTTTCAATAGCTTCACATTCCAATTAATGGTTGTGTTGTATTTAATTTATACAATGATTTTAAATATAAAAAAATACTATAGTCTTCAATATATTGAAATAATAAACAACAAAAATTTTTTATTATGTTTAAATCTGTATAAAAATATAAAATAAAATATAATATTTTAATTACTGTTTTATTTTTAATAATTAAAACAATATAAATAACTGGATTGAAAATATATTTTTTTAAATTAATTTTAATTATGCAAATATGTTATAAAAATATGTATTTGCTAGTTTAATGTAAAATTTAATAATTATTTTATTTTATAACCTCTTTTTCCCATTTGCTATTTATCCTTGTGTGTACTTATATGTTACTGGATTTTATATATCTGCTTTTTGCTTTATTTCATCAATTTTAAAAGCTCTTAGGAAAATTATGGATGTGTATTTTTTAATTTCAATGGAGGATGAACGAACTTTTTCCTTAAATTGAATTATTTTATGATACTGACCCATGGTCATCAAATGACTGAAAAGTTCTCCTTCCTCAATCGGGTCCTCAACGCTCACAAGCTGCTGGCAACGAGAACGGCAGAAGTTCTGAGCGTCATCCCAACGCAACTGCAGATGAATAAAAACTATTAGCACCCTGTCTATTCTTTTTATTACAATGGAATGTTCAATTCATTGTGTTAAATTTTATTATGCACCTTGATGGAGCTGTGGGAGAAGTAATACTCCTTTTCACCAAGAGGCACCATTGTGAGGTCACGAGCTGAAAATTATTTACATTTTTCAGTATTCTGTAGTGCAATTAAGGCTATTTTTATTTCAAATTTTATACATTTTTGTGTATTATCTTATTTTCTTTGAAAATTCATGTCAAATTGCCAAATTTTTCTTCAACTGTGTAAAAAACTGCTCATTTTGATGAAAAGTCATAAAAAAATAATATATGCAAAAATGTCAATTTAAAAAAAAAGCAGAAGGAGATTTGTTAAAGTTATCGTCAAGTAGACCTACCTTGATAAGCACAGTCATGTCTGATAAGTCTAAGCAACTGAAATCAGAAATTAAGTCTCGTCAGTCATTACATTCGTTTCGTCATGTCTTGAATAATGTTAAAAGTCTGGAGTGGGAATTGCAAGAGTTGAAGTCGCTCACCTGCGAATTGCACTGCTCGTACTCTTCAGTGGTTTCATTGGCGACCCTGAAGAGACCAAAGTTCTGCTTGCCGGTTAATCTCAACTGAAAAAAAAATTAAAATTCAAAATTATTCTGCAATCTCGATCACCTTCAAATTTTGTCATAAACTTAAAACTTAATCGTCGTATCAAGAACATAAAATTGCAGACAATTTTTTTTTTTATCAATAGTCCGCGTTCATGTTTTATTAAACCACCTTATTTATTTAAGGTTCTTTTCACTAGAGACATTCTTATTTAACGTGCTTCATCTTGTAACTTTTGTCAATCTGAAATTTTCTAGAAACTTCTCGCGAAAAATTTAATCTGGTTAAAAAAAACTTGTCATGCAAGGTGTGTGTGCTGCTCAAGCGCACGTCCCTCATACCTAGATCATTATTTTTTTTATCGCCTCTTTGCTCGTTGCCGACGGGCCTTTTTAATTGACGGCGGTCAACATATTTATTTAAATGCAATATAAATTCAGGTAAAGACAGTAATTATGACAAAACTCACGCCGAAGTTGGTGGCCAGGACGAGCGCCGTGAGGATGATGTTGACGACCTGCAGGACGATGATGGCCACCGCCACCACAATGGCAAGCAGCACTGGGATGATCAACACGCCCAGGGCGCGCACAGAGCATGATTGCTGCCGGTTTCAAAAAGGCGTGAATATCAATTAGCCGCGTTTCTCTAAAATTTACCTGCAGAGCCTGGAACTTTTGGCGGAGGCCGCCGCCGGAGTAAGAGTCAATGATATACTCGGCGATCATGTAGAAAGGCAACAGACCCCTGGAAATTATTTTTTATTTAATATAAACGCTTGCAATTATGTTGTTTCGTCAAATTAAGTGGTGGTAATTAAAAGTAGTAAAAATTTAATTATCTCATTCCTTGCCTTATTATATAAATTTACAGCAACATTAAAAAATAATTGTTAAGATCGTCAGATATATTTCTATTAATTAAATGTAACTAAAATAATAAAATTTATATTATTTTGATTACATTTTAATAATCTATTGCTCAAAATAAATTTTAATTCAAGTTTTTACCTAATATTATTAATTTATCCTATATTAATGGTAATATTACATCGCCAAGAACACCGTACAAAAAAGTGGAAACATGCATCGGCATGAAAAAATATAAAACACACAAAAATGGCAAAAAATAAAAAAGTCGAGAATTTAAGAACACTGCTTGAAATACATTTCACAAAATTCACAATGAAAAAGCTGGTTTTGCTTCAATTTACTGCTCATTATGCTTGTTTAGATGTAAACGTTCGCGACCCGCGCCACGTTTATCAGGATGCAAGAAAAAAGCAGTGCTCTCGTCAGGCAAGCGTCTCCTTGCTCCACCTTCAAACGCAGTCCCATGAAAATGTCTGCGCTCTTATACACATTATATAGTCTGGCCGCCGACAAACAAGTTTTCAATCTGATTGTGAGTTGCACTGCCTATCGAGGCATACGTGACTCGATGCATGGTCCCTTTTTCTATGTTTAACCAATTTATTCAAAAATGAATGAATATTAACAATTATTTTTAATTAATTTATTTTAAATATTTACTAAATAAGAAGATATTACTTTGTTAAATAATTATGAATAATGGTGCATAAAGTAATTAATTTAGTTTAAAATGTATACAATTTCCGATAATTATTGCTTCAATTACATACCTTGAATTTTTCATAATTATTCATTTAAACATTTTGAATTTTCTTATTTTATGCAATTGTCAAAATTTGCAATGTCTATAGCTTTCATGTCTCAAAAAAAGTGTACCTCAAGTTTCTCAAGTTGTTTGTTTGCAAAAATTTCAATAATTACATTTTAGTCGTGACGGAATCATTTAAAAAATTAACGCTTTAATTAAACACTTAGGTAAGTGTAAATATGTGCAATTAACAATTTTTTCCTCTGTGTGAGTTTTCGTCACGTCAGGTGCACATACGCATGCGAATATTGAACCGCAGCAAATCACGAGTCCTTGTTCAAGTGGACAAGTCGAGGACTGGCGGACTACTTTTTGCCCACAATATGCGCAAAATAAAAAGGAGGAAAATTATTTTACCTTGGCGTCGACTGCTTCAGACTCGACCATGCTAGGGCGCGACTCTGCTCCGATTCTTCGAATTTGCTGGGCAGGCCGCGAATCACGTCGGCAAAACTTTTGCCAAAGGTGCATGGGACGAAAAAGCAACCCTGAAGCAAAAATTATATTGTTCGCACAGTTTATATCCAGTGAAATCCAGTTCAAGTTAAGTAAGTTTTATTGGCTGATTAAAAATTGATTTAAAACAAAATCACATATTGAAAAAAAGTTTGGTTTATTTTAAAAATTTAGTTCAGAGATGGAGTTAAAATTTAAAAATTTAATAAAATATTGAGGGTAATTTATCTATAAGTTGAATAAAAATCTTCAGTTAAGGAAATATTTGATTTAAAAATTAAATCCAGGTAAATGGAAAAGTATTGGGTAAAGATGGCAAAGTAAAAAGCAAACAATTTTTGCTTACCAGTAAGCAGATGACCAGCACAATTTTGAGACCCATGTTGACTGGCAGGTGGTCACAGGTGGATTGAAGCGGTCAACAGGGCTATCTTACAAATTATACACAAGGGCGGACTGCGGAGAAAAAAGGAGGATGCCCGAAAGGTGCGCTCTTCCACCGAAATCCGCGTCTGGTCCCACCTTCCCCACTCCGCGCGCAACCCTTTTCGGCCGCGTGCACCCAGTAACACAGTTTCTCACTTCCGACGACCGCTCCTTATCGCGAGCGCAGAGTGGGAACCCGTCGAGTTTTTTGACGAAATTTTCTTTCAACAACCTGATGGCATTCGTCGTGTTGGGAGGTATCTCTGAATAATTCGTTTCAAATGCAGCGATGTGTCAATCTCGCGGCCGGCGCAGTAGCTGTTGATGCAGTTAGCACCAAGGTGAAAATAAAAAAAAGTTGGAGAACGAGATCTTGCTTTTATATCTTGAGAACTTTTTAGGCAAAAGATAAAACGTGTAAGAAGACTATAGCCGTATTAGACATGGTCATTTATTTTTCCTTTTTTAACATTAATCATTTATTAGTCAGGAAAAATTCTTGCATTTAAAATCGAAGATTACGTAAATTATTAAATTTAATAGAACAAATTATTCATGTTATATTAAAATTGTAGGAGTATTGAGAAAGTAATTTATAAAAAGTGCAATTTTGTCCTCTAATTTTTTAAAATTTTAAAAATAATTTTAAATATACATAAAAAAAACATTTAAATTGAAAATAAATATTTAATTAAATTTATAGCTATTAAAATAGGGCCTTAATCCATGAATATATAATATAATTTATGAAAAATTTACATTTAATCAACTGCATGACCGCTAAATTTAATTGTCAGACCTCAACCTTTATATTTTCCTAAGCAAAATAGCTACAGCGCACCATAGAAGGGAAGGCGTTAATCTTCCTCATGCACCGTCAGTCCCAATTTCGCGCCGAGCTGGCCCCGACTAAAGTTTCAAAAAATGAAATGCAACAGCCTATATGTTCTAGGCCAAGTATTTCCACAAATTCAAACTTTCTGCTTGTCGCTAGAAGTATATTTTGTGACAAAAAAAAGGAAGATTGCGTTGACCTTCGTTAGCTCTGCAGCGGAAACGCGCGCTCATACGTAATTGCTGCAGATAAAGTCACAAAATAAGTCTCTCCTGAAGTTTCTTTTTTACTCTTTTTGGCGAATTAAAACTGAATTATCGGCAGAGAAGAATTAAGCAAAAGAAAAACGCATAAGTTTTGTCACGCACGTCATTATTTTCAAATGACAGCACACAATCAGTGCCAGTGATTGCCTCACAGAGGAACGCTCATTATTTTTTAAGCGCAAAATAAGTTTCCTTGTGGCCATTAGCAAAAATATAATTAGCTCCTTCTACAACCAAATGTCCATTCATAAATATTAATTATAATTATAATTTTTACTCATTGCGAGGCTTCATGCAAATTAATTTTAATTTTGTTTATAAAATATAGACAAATTGACTTTATTAATATGGTTATAGTTTTATTTGCATTGCAAATAAAACTATTTTGCAATATTTGAATAAAAAAACGCTTTTTGGCATCAATAATTAATTATTTATTTCACCTATATTATTAAGTTGGGCAGTTTTCCAATCAGCATAAACTATTTTCATTAAAAATTGTCTCTAGAAATTCAGAAAACACATCTCAGCAGAAAAACAAACATGAATCTCCCATTATATGTGTAAACCTGTTATTATATCGACTGCGTTTCCTGCAGCAAACAAAAACAGATGCCAGATGCGATCTAAAATTTACGCACGGCAAGCACTAATTTTGAGAATTTATGGTTCATTAAGTCACGGGTCTCAATTAACTGCAGCCTGCAGTGTCATGCATTAATGCCGCTGATACGCGCCAGATTATGCATTTTATACTGACCATAAATCATTCTCTTTTATAATATATTAATATTTGTTTTTACACGCCTTCCAACCGTCTCAAGATATTTGTTTAATCATTATTAGAAATCAGTAGAAATGATATATTTGAAAATATAATCCATTAATTAATATAAGGGAACCCGATAGAATTAATTTTAATTTATGAATTAAAGGGCACGCCTAGATTATTAAATGTTATTTTCTGTTGCATGAGAATTCTGCCAGTACCACCATAATTTATATTTTAATAATAATCAAACAGAGGAAAATTTGAAGCATTTTTAAGCGCAAAGCAATTAGGGTAATAGAATACGTAAATGAAATAATTAAACATAATATAAATAAATATAATTATGTAATAAAATTTTACACACAAGAATTTTGTTTATTTAAAAAAAAAATATATAAATTGAGAAAGAATGCAAGAAGAATTATTTTCTTTTATTTTAGAAAGTATGTTAATTAAAAATTTTACTCGCTTTATTCATTAATCTATACCGCTCTTCTGCTCCTATCAAATGCAATACATCGTATTTAAGTTCAAATAGTTTAGTTTCAAGGTATAAGAAATAAAATTTTAAAAATACATAAATAATTATATTTATAATTTAATGAACATACTTCATATATAAGATTTTTTCTTTTAAAACACTAGCCGTTCAGCCACGTTTTTGAATTTGGCCATAAGGAGTACATAAGCTAATAATGCTGTCAATACACTGTGAACGTGTTAGACCCATAAATTCTCGGGGCGATCAGGTCCCACGTGTTGCGTCCGTCTCGAATCCATCTGCTTCCCCTCCTTTTGCAAGGGCGATCGACTGCGTGACTTTCTCGTCACAGTTTTATTTGATTCTGAACTTGATATTTTCGACAATATGTATGCAAATTGTCCGTTTTACGAGGCACTCGCAAGAGTCACCGGTAAGTGGACGCATAGTCGGTACTTTATTTCATTGCCGTAGCGTCTGTCTGCAGCCCGTCAATTAACCTTGCCTGCTTCGATGCTCCGTCGCAAACCGGCGTATACTTTATACACTTGAACCATCGCGGTATGTGAAATTTGCAGACACACCACGTTCCTTATTTGCTTTTTTCAATTACTTCGGTGGCCAAATTTTTAAAGGCATGCACGTAGACAGACGAGTTTCCAACGGACGCTTAGGTTATTTAATTCAAGTGCTTAAATGTTTAGTACTTTTTTGCTTTTTCGGTTAATTTCGAGTACCAGCAGCAAACGTCTCTACCAGGTTTGAAAAAATATCATTTTTTTCAGTGGGGAAAAATTTGTAAATCTGCATAAATTTTTAATTTTGTATTTAAATATAGGAAAAATTATTTTTTAAATTTATGCAATTTATTAATCCACAGACAAATTTTTTCTTTAAAATTAAATGTGATTTTGAACTTCAAGATACAGTCGCTTTAAAAAAAAGTCATCTTTCGCAGGAAATAATAATGAGCGAAATGAAAATACATCTAAAAGGAATAGAAAAATAGTTATTGAGGTGATCAATGATCATCTGTTTCCCCTACTTGTTGGAAATGAACCAAAATTTTCTATTAATGATATATAATAAAATTTTTATTAAGAGGCGGGCAATATAGAATTAAATTAAATCGCGTTTTTACTTATATATTATATAAGTTATATTACTTTTTTCCTCGGAAAGCACAATCTTAATGCTCAGTCAATCATCGCAGTCCTCTCAGCAAAAATATATCGGCATTTTAGAATTTAAACACGAATTTTTCAATATATTTAGTAACAATTTATTTATTTACTTTATTTTGAATACATCAATGTGGTTTGCCTATTTTTATTATTTGACCTCTCGAGTCATCATAAAATATTAAAATTTCACGCACATCAAAGGTGCGCGCGTCTATATAATAGCCTAGGTGAGAGAGTTTCTTAAAAAATTGGAATCTATTCTCATAAATTGGCCAGTCCATAAAATAGCAATTACGTCGTAAGATTAAAGCATGTTGTCGTTTTTTTTTACAGCTTCCTCTAGGGTAGGCAACACGCACATTTGTATAAGCTGCCGTGCGATGCGCAAAAATCGCGCTATTTTGTATACATTATGTAAAAATCCAAAGGAGGCCACGCGGTGCAAAGTAATCATCACGATCACGATGCATTTTAGCCATAAAAATAATTAGACCACCGCTATACAAGAAGCTATAAGAATTAATGGAAATTGAGGTTGATAGTTTTTCCATTTGGTTTTAAATTATGAGCATCGCATCGATAAGGAATTTACGTAATTTTTGTCAATTGATTATTTCTTTGCAATAAGTGACTAAAGGCAAATTTAATATTTTTTTCATCTAAATTGTGTGTTTTAAAATGTTTCTGTTTTTACGCGAAAATTTTAATCTGCACTTTTTTAAACAGGTAATTTTTGTGAAAATAGGTGGTTATTTACTCTATTAGATAATTAAATAGGTGATAGTTTTTTTTTTATAAAATTTGATTATGTTTTTTTTTCATTACTATTACTTAGGCAAAAAAATTTCTTTTGAGTGAAAGTGGAGCAGATTCCAAATTTAGCATATTCTTATTTTTAGGCACACATTTAAATTCTTCAAGTATGTCCGTTTTATTTTCAAATGGGTTTTCGTTGACGATATTAGATAAACTGGAAATGTAGACTTTAACTATGATGTTGCAAAAAGTTTATAGAGGCTCATTAAATTGGCGAGAGTGCGGCAAGTTGTCGCCCCTTTTTACAACCTGCTGCCGATTCTCTCTTGATCTAGGAATCTCCCCACACCAAGCAAACCGGCAAATGATGCAAAACGCTCTAAGCCGTCTTAATTTTCGGTTCCACCGGCCTCTAAATAAAAACGCACAGTTTTATTACTTTACTCGGAAAGGGGTCTTTGCTACGTACAAAAAAGGCTTGCCTATTTTTTATGACGCAAAGGAAATTCTTCGGTCGTAAATAACGTTTGAACTATAAAGTGCAAATTAAGCAGAATGCCAAGGTTGAGCCGGATTTTTATTAATTTTTGCAATGTCCATCACGTGCCGAAAAAATCCTTCTACTTAGGCAGGTCTGTGCGCCGAAAGCTTGGATCAAAACCGGCTATGATAACAAGTCTATTAGCAAATGAAGTTTTACTATAATTTCCTTCTCGGTAAGTGAGTTTATAAATGTCCGCCAAGACCAATGTGTACGTTCATAAATTAAA